CAAGAAAGGAAACAACCCTTAAGAATTTAAAAGCTCATGGGAAATCTCTCCCCACCTATAAGAGATTTTTTTCCCACTCAAACGAGATTTTCTCTCTAGAAGGAAAGTTTCGTTTCCTTCTTCATATACTTCTCAAGTGGTAAAAAGGAAACCATGGTCAAGCAATTTTGGAAATCCATTAAGGGAGAATCAAGATCATATTTTTCCAACTTTTGAAATCAAGATCATATCTTCCTAAAAGAGCATATTCACATATGAGGAAAATCAAAAGAGATTATGGATGGATTTTCTTTCCTAAGAAATCCAAAAATCTTCATTCAATTAAGAAATCTTCATTGAATTAAGAGATTTTTAAGAGAACTTCTTTAAATTATAAGATCTTCCTAATTCAATCAATTTTTCAAGAAAAGAAGAAACTAAATCTCCAACTTTTAACGAAAAATATCTCCACAACTAATTAAAATAGTCTCCATTTAAAAAAACTTTCCTCGTAGGGAGATCATATCTATCCTATTTTATAAAACAATTATTTTAATTATTACAAGTTTCCTATTCTATTTTATATTTATTTTTATATGTAATTTTGCAATTAATTTAGGAGATGATTTTCCTTATTATTCACATGACATACACTATAAATATGCTAACTTATCACAGTTGTATTCATTGAAGTTTTGAGAATAATAAAATTACAAAGTTTTAGTTTCAATTAGTGAGGTTTTCTTCAAGCTTCTTGTTGAGCGGAGAATTAGTATTTACTTATCAAGGTAACTTCTGGCATTTTCATCAATTTCTTTCTTAAATTAATTTTAACTTATCAAACTTTTTTTTGTGACGTTCTAATTAATGAATATTTTCTGTTACTATCAGCTCATTGTACACATGAATCTGTTTTAAGTATTTGCTAATTTTAGACAGGTTTGATGTGGGATGTAGGCGGGGCGGATTGAGAGAGAATGGTTGGGCAAGGCAATATTTATTAATGATTAAAAAATTAATCTACTTGGGTAGGTTTCACCGTAAACCCACATATCACTGAAAAAACTAAGTTTTTTAAAAACCTGCTGCGAGTTCAGGACAGTTTTGGGGCAACACATTCTTTGCCCATGGTAGGTTCAGTTTCGGCAAGACGTATCCTAAAACCACTCTGTTGTCATCCGTAGTGGTTAATTTTTGAGGAAAATAGTATTTAAAGATAGAGAAATATTAAAACAAGGAATAGATCCCCCCTTTCTTCCAATATACTCTCCCCCTAAAAATAAGGTTTTATCAAATGGACTCGGTATCTACAAATATAACATTAGTGGATACATAAATTTTTGAGTGGGTGGATGGTAACTTCTGTATCCTTTCTATATACGTATCCTTTGAACACACATTTAATGGTCCTATGTTCAAGCTTTCCTTGTTGAGATTGAAATATGTAAACATAGGCAACACAACCGAAGACTCGAAGGATAAGATTATTGGTGATTCGGACTTCAATAGAAAAGGTATCTAGAACTTTTGTAGGATTGCAAAAGTCTAAGACCCGAGATGATAGCCCGTTGATAAGATAGGTTGCAGTCAAAATGACTTCCCCCAAGTACTATTTGCGCATATGGTTTTGAAACAAGAAAGTACAGGTAGTGATAAGTAAGTGACTGTTTTTCCATTCTGCCACTTTGTTTTGTTGTGGAGTGTAAACTCAGGAAGACTCATGAATCATCTCTTCACTTTGAAAGGAGAATAATGTTTATTTAAAGTATTCACAAACATAAACTTTGTTTTAATCATGTTTTGAAATTGGAGAATAATGTGAATAATATCATATTTAGATTTCAGTAAGAAAAACCAAATCACTCTAGTGCAATCATCGATAAAAGAAACAAACCACTAAATCCCATAGATATCAGGAACATGAAGGAAGATTCCCAAATATTACTATAGACCGAATTAAAAGGAATAGTACTTTTATTACTAGGAAAAAATGTACACGTTTCTGTTTTGTCAATTCATATACATCATAGTGTAAAATTTCATAATTAAAATCCAAAAACAAAGAGGGAACCATAACCTTCAGGGTGGAGAATGAGGGGTGACCTAACCTTCTAATTGTGGGAAGAGCAGTTCATGGTGTCTCAAGTGCATCAAGAAGTATTACCTGTTTCGAGCGATAGCATGTCTGATTGTCCTTGTCGAGTTTCGCTCTTGAAATTTACAAAGAGATGGAGAAAAAATCACTTTAAAATTGAGGTCTTGAGATAGTTTAATTACTGATATTAGTTTAATACATAGTTTAGGGATATGTAATACATCAGTAAATGAAAAGTGAGGGCTAAGCTTCATGTTCCAAGCCCTGCTACTATGGTTAGTGAACCATCAACAATAACGATTTTCTTATTGCTGGTACATGGGGCTTAGGTATTCAAAAACTGAGTGAAGTTAGTTATGCTGATTGTGGCTCCTGAGTCCATAATTCATGATAATACAAATGGTTTATCCGAGATATTTAAACCATTGGAGGTAGAAAATATACCCAAATAGGTCAGGTGACCAGTACCTTACAGGCATAACCTTTGACATGATGTAACGTTTTTAGGCTATTAAGGCCGATTAAAAAGAGCAAAGTTAAGGATTGCCAGGTTGGAATAGGACTTCCTTGTCTAGACAAGCTATTCTTGGAGGAGCACAAATAACTGTGGGTTGTATGCAAAAGGCAGATGCAACTCCGCTGCGCGGCTGTTGGTTCTACGCACAAGGGGCGAACAACTGTCTCTGCTTGCGGCTGAATAGAAAGTGTCACTGGAGCTGAGCAGGTCAGAAACATGGCAAGACGAGGGGCTGGAGTGCGCAAAACAGAGCATATGAAACAAGGCTGAAAGAAGAGCAAAAAACATGAGCTGTGCGTGCAAAACAGAACATGCGAAACAGGGCACAAACAAAGTGTGCGTCTGAGTAGAGCAAAGTTTGCAACTGAGGAGAGTAGAAAATAGAGCACAACTGGACGCATTGCGCAGCTAGTCAGAGCATAAGCGTCTTTGGCAATGGCTGTGCTTGGCTGCGGCTGAACAGGAGTTGGCTGGTGCATCTGAACAGAGGCGGAACAAAGGTCGTGCGCAGCTGGTATCTCAGCTATGAAGGCCGTCTCCAAGGGTTGTGGTGGCCAGCAATAAAGACTGGCCCCTTTAGGATTTTTTTTCTTCTTATTTTGGTAATTAATGCTGATAGGTTTGTAAAAGAAAGTTAAGATTTTTTTCCTAAAGATCTTATACTATGTTAGGAATGGTTGGATATGTATTTTATTAAATATCATGACCCCATATGTACAAGCTTTCTAGAATGGAATCGGAAATAGACAATTAATTACACAAGGCATATTTCAGCCTAATGCCCTTTAATCTAATTATATATAATACACTATTTAACAATTGGCTATAATTACCTTTTTCCCTAGAGGTAAAATTGAATAGTTCTATTTCGGGTTTGTAAGTTGTAAACGTTACTTTTGAGAATTCTAGCCAAATATACTCCGCATAATCTGCTTTGAATTATTAAAATCTGATCCACTATATTGTTCTCATAAATGTTATTCTCCAGAATTTATAAGTAGAGATTTTTAGTAATTGTTTTAGACAGTCCATGAATCTTGTCAAGTTTATATTACATAAAAGACAAACAAAGGTAAGCTTCAGTGAACTTAGTTTTCTCTTTCTCTCCCTCCCTCTCTCACTACACATATTTATCGAGATATAGCTATATAGCTACATAGCTATCAAAATCTCCCAGCAGCACTCTCCTATCTCTTTTTCCCATTTTACTAGGTTATTCAAAAGTTCAACAAGGCCAAGTTTCACAAGGTACAGCCAATACAGCAGCCTAGCATCAATATCTGATGGTGACCAAATCCATGATCGGGATCACACCATGATAAACAAAAGTGAAATTATAGAAACAAAATTATCCTGAAGCAATAAGGTTATCCCAGCATCAAAAATAAAGTCAAGAAGAAACATGAAGTTATTAGCTAAAAACATAACAGCAATCCAAAATAAAGCGAAGGAAATAAATAAGATTTTACATAGCACAAACCTTGGAGGAAAGCATGGGGCCACATAATCATAAATATCTCCAAGTTCCTCTCCAATCTAAATGTTGAAAGGAAAATGAAATGACATCATGAACAAATTAATATTTTCAAGCAGGTTGCAAATAAAATTAAGGATCCCAACATTAAAATTGAAAAAATAAGGTCAATATTATCAAACTATATTGTATATCTAGCACATAAATAGTGACAACACTTGCAATAATTGTACCACCAAAAAAGAGATTAAGGTGGGCAAATGGCAGAAAATAACCTCCATTAGTTCTTATAAAAACACGCACAAAAATTTATCCATTATCCATAAGGAATCTCCAACTTTTATTGAGGAAAAATTTGTTTTCCGTTTGTAGAAACACCCAAAATTCACCAATACACACTATGCACAAAATCGCAAATCGAGAGAAGTTATGCATACCATTCGAGCTTCCTCTAAAGCTGCTTTTAGGTCCTCAAACACAAGCTGATGAAGCAATTACTGTTAGAAGACGTAGCATCAACAAATGAATGGGGGAATATT